GCGCGCTGATATATTTCGTGCAGCCAGTCGTATATGATTTTTTTCTCCCCCGCGAGTCCTAACGACTCGCTGATACTGTTAGGAGGGAAATTGCTAAACGCGTTTTAAACGCGAATAAAGTCGAGAGAGGAGGGCGCCTCGTTAGATACGGGAGCGTAATATGCATTAGTAACGGGGATGTTTCGCAAACGAGCATTTTTAAGCGAAGGCTCACGCGATAGACGCGCGAGTAAATTCGCGCCTTCGCACGGTGCAATTAGACGCAATTCGCGCGCGCTCTAACGAAGCGCCCTGCGACCGAGTCGCACACGTGCGCAACCTGTCGCGAGCTGCTCCAACGGTCGCGCCAGTAAAAAGCCGCGCAACACCTCACTGCATCCGCTCTACCCGAATAGTTATGCACCCCTTTCGCGCCCGCCGCCTGCAACGCGCTTCTAATGCCCGCGTGTTCCACCACGGCGTTCGTTGCACTTGCTGAAACAGCTGTGGGCACCTGTGCCGCCACCGCCGAGCGCTAGTAAGGTGCAACGTTCCCGCGGTGCACACCCTTGCGCCATTTCATCGAACGCCCCGGCGTTCGAGTTACCCCGTAATATCCGCCGTGTTAGATCGACCCGGGTTATGTCCCGACGACGACTCGCTCGCTCGCTCGCTCGCTCGCCTCCTTTTCTTCGCTCGCGACATTCGCCGGCCGCCCGACGGCGAACGACCGGCGGACCGGGCGGGACGGCGCGATTCTCTAAGGGTGACTCTCGCTAAACTTGAATTCATAGCTGATCGATAAGCAATAATAAGAACGAGCAAAATTAATTGCCAATTGGTAACTTGTCGTTTAACAATGATCGAAAAGTAATTTCTATCTGTGTTAACAAAATAGACCACACAGGGAAACAAATTATTGCACTGCGAAGAGAAGTAATTGCTCGGTTTATTTTTTCTCTTTTAAATAATGACTGTTTAGAGCAAAAAATATTTTTCCTGATAATAGTATCAAGATATACTCATCACAGGTATTAAAAGAACTCATTGTTATTTACTCAAAAGAAAAATTTGTTCTCTTTTCAAGAATATTATAAAGTTTAGCGGAGAAAGGTTAAATTCGAATTGGAATGAGAGGCGAGGTTTCAATTCTAGCTTGAATTTAATTAATTTTCAATTCTAGTTTTAATTTAATATTTTCAATTGAAGTGATAAACTAAGATTCAGAATACTAAGATTCAGAATATATTTTGAATCAATTTGACGTTTACGATAAACTTATGATATACTTACGGATACATAAATTTATGAAATACTTGACACAAACAATATTTACTTAAATGCAGTATGTATTTTTCTCTGTGCAGATCAGAAATTTGGATATAAGTAGATTAGTGACATTGAACAGGATCGGTTTGATCGGCTGTCTGAATCATATGGCCAGGTCTTACCAGAATCATGACCAGGTCTTACTTTTTCTCAGCAGTGAAAATCGAGTGCGACTAAGAACATATGATGTACCGGCAAATTATATCATTTTATTATAATTTTAGTACACCATGACTAAAAAAAATTCCTTTCTTCATATACCGAATTATAACAAATGATGAGTATTCTTATTTAAACTAATTATTAAGATCATAACTTCTTGTAATCTAACCCTTTTTCCTAACTCATTTTCCTTCTTTCATTTACTTACCCGCTTGCTCTAAATATTACGAAAAAGAAAAATAGCAGACTATCGATATATCTAACTCGTTGTTTCTCTATTTTTACCTAGGTCTCTAAAGTAATACTTGACTGGCAGCAATTCTAAATAATTCATCAGCCAATCGGAGTTTGATGGAAGTCGCCCTAAATCCGGTTTATAACGAGTTGCATTGTAAAATTAGTTCTAATTTATTCGAAACTTTCTACTTATTATAATGCGATTATTTAACCTAGATACAATGCGTCGAAAAGAAATACATGTATAATTTGAAATTAAGCTACCGACTATAGTTGGCATTCACCTATGGGTGGAGTCCATTAGATGTTTTAAAGCATTAATTTAAAGCAAATATTATTTGGTCCAAGTAAAATATTCTCCAAGTAAATTATCCAAATAAAATATTTACTTGATCCACGCAAAATTTACTTAATCCAAATAAAACTTTGCTGAAGAATATTGGAGTAATTATTTATTTGAATCTAGCCCCTTTTTCTGTAGTTATACATAATGGCATTAAAAAATCATATATTAAAAATATATATTATTATGAATATAAAACACCGCTTTGATGCCTGTGAAACAGACCGCACTTTATATGTGAACATTCGATCGCGGCTATCGACTTTACTCGACGATCGTATCGAGAAAGTTAACATCGCGTGTACGAACAATCTGTAACATTTAACGCCAATCAAGTTAATTTACGTCGATCAAGATTTCGCAAAATAAATATATACCCTACAATTTGTATAATATTAACATAATAGCTAATAAAGAGATCAACACGTGTGCGAATAATCTGCAATGTTTAATGTCAATTTAATCAAAACCTAATAAAATAAATGTGTATCTAATTTAAATTCACGCGATCTTACATTGAGGAAAAATGTTTGACTTTTGTGAACTATAATTGAATAAATGAAAGAATTATAATCAGAAGAATCATTTTTCTAATGAATGTTACTTTGGTGTCAACGATAACAATCTTACACGCGTACATAAAACTTTTTGTAAAACGGCTCATTTAAATTTTTGGATTATTTTAATAACATTGCGAGCATGTTTAAAAAATGTAAAAATATGTTAAATTAACATATTCACCTTGCTAACTATTACTATTTAACATATTAATTTTAATAGAATAATACAAAAATTTAAGTAGACCGTTTATAACGCAACATTTTGTACTGTGCATATTGATATTAATTTGTTGAGTCAAAACCAGAAGAAGGTACAATGGAGAGGCCGAAAATGCGACTATAATTTTAGTGGGATTTCTCTCGGAGCGTACGTGTAATGACTAATGAAGAAATTAGTAGATTTTGTCTTCGGGTTCTCATGCACCTCTCGATACGCGTCCGGAACAATAGCCTCCTCGGCGATGCCGAGCGACGCGCGTCACGGAGTGCCCAAGGATACGACGAGTCAACGAACTCGGTG